CTCAACTCTATTCGAGAACTTTTTGTGACTTCTATATTCTGAGAGCTTCTTTTAAACGATAAAATATTCAAAAGCGCTAATAACCCATGTCCAGCTCGTAGCCTACTCTTTATCGAAAAGATCTATTTTACTGAACTTCTGGTTTCTCCAGTCTCACTCGTAAGTATTTTGTTTAAAGATAGAGTATATTTATATATATAAAAGTCTTTTCTCTTTTCTGGCATTTTTGGTTTTAAGAATCATCGAGAAGAGTGGTGATTTTATGATTTTAATTGTATAACATATGACAAAAATTAAATTGAATTAATTTTTCAGTAGGCCTAGTTAAAGTAAGCTATTCAATCTATGAATAGTTACTACTTTTTTTATATTATTTTATATGTGATTATTATTTATCTAATATTTAAAATAAGCTAGTTATATACAGACTTAAGAAAAATTTTAATATTCGAGAGTTTTTATTAAATATTAATATTAAAAACACTTAAAAAAAACTTTGAACAAATAAGAAAAAAAAAAAATTACAACTCAGCCCTGTACAGTACATTGCAAAATAAATACAAATATCTTATACTATTTATTTCAACTCTTATTTCAATCTATCTTAGCAGATTACAATATTTATAATAAATAAATATATTGTGCTTATCTTTCTCTAGCAACTTGTGATCTTTTCATTAATTGCTGTTTTCTTTTTCCTTTTGCTGTTTTGAGTAGACTATTCACATTTAGATAACCAATGTTCAGGATCTAGTAGTACATCTAAATTATATACACCTATTTTTCTTTGTTTTATTTTGGTTTATTTTCATTTTTATTTTGTTTTATCTTTATTTTTATTTTTATTTTTTTTATTTTTGTTTTTTTTTTATTTTTTTTTTTTTTTATATTTTATTTTTTTTATTTTTTTTTTATATTTTTTTATTTTTATATTTTTTTTTTGTTTACAAAAGTTTTAATTGATCACTAGCTCTAATATTTTTTCCAAATTGCTAATAAATCATGATGCCTCGTCTATACTTTTCTCTGCTAATCTGTAATAGCAGTCTCAGGTCCTTTCAAATAATTCACTAATTTTTAACTGACTTTTGTTAGCTACTTTATCAGCAGCAGATATCGAACAACAGGTACCTCCACAACATTATGGGTTTAATATACTTCTATTCTATTCTCATCAAATATTCTTTGAAAGTTTTTCCAAGCTTCTGGTATTAAAATATTAGTACCACAAAGTTGTTCATGAAAAATATAATGACACAGTAATATATACTAATTGAAGAATCTGCATGTGTATTCTGCACTTGCAAGGTTTAGTAAATACTTTTCTTCTTTTAGTCTTTTTGCAACAGCATATATTTCTTCTGCAACAAGTCTCTGAAGAGAAAAAGAAAATTTATAGAGCTTATTAAGAATTTCTGGTCTAGTATTAGCAAGAGAAATTCTTTTGGTATGAAATTTGATTGCAGTTTCTTTTGCAGCTATCATTTTTTTATTGTCAAGTTCTAAAAGAATTTTACTCATCTCTAAATAATAATAATAAATAAATATTGTTTTAAATAAAAAAATAAAAAATAAAAAAATTCTAATAATGATAATTATTTTTTAAACTTTAATAAAACAATGCTAAAATATTACTATGTGGTGAGCAGTGTTTGAAATTTAATTTTAAATTTTGTTATGAGCCTGCAACTTAATAAAAATCAACTTGTGAAATAACAAAATTTAGTTGTATGATAATGAAATTTTTGATTTTATTATAAACATATAACCAAAATATACACAACTTTGCATACAATTTTAGGTTTTAGTTATGAAAAATTTAAAGATTATTGCAGTGTATAAGCTCCATAATCTAATTTCAGATACTAGTATTTAGAGATAACAAATGATTTTAAATAAAAAGTTTTAAAACAGATTTAAAATGATTTTTTTAAAATATCATCATTGATATTGATATTATAACTTTTGTATCATCTATAAATGCATATTTTATTGTAGTTTGCAAAATTATATAAATTTTGCAGATCATAAAAAAAAAGAAATTGTACAATTTTTAGGCAATTTTTAAGTAATTTCTGATTCTTAAAACAACTCTGATATCTAGATATAAAATTGTCATATCTGAGTTGTTTTAAGAAATCAGAAATCACAAAGAAATTGTCTAAAAATAGTGTAATTTTTTTTTTTAATTTGCAAAATTTACATAATTTTGCAAACTACAATAATCAAAAAAATTATAGCTATAACAATTTCAGCTATTACATAGCATAATAATCACTGATGTTTTAAAATATTTGAAATAGCCTTAAAAGTACTATTACATGTCAGTGCTATAGCTACAATACAAAACATCTTGACTTCAAAAATAATAATTTAATTTTAAGAAATAGACTATAGTAAAATTTATTCAAGAATATTTAATACTAAATATATAATTACAATTTCATTAGTACAATTTTGTATAATTTCTACTTATTTTTTTTTTGTTGATTGTTACGGCTATAATACTAATCATATAATAGTATTTTTAAAGCCTGCTCTAGCTATTTCAAAATATTTATTAAAACAGTTTAAAAAACATAAAAATTATTAAAAAACTTTTTTTACTATCTCTACTGCAATACTAGTAGTTAAAACCTGACACAAAATTTTTTTATACAAAAAAAAAAAAATAATAATAATAATAAAATTTTAAAACTAGTAAAGATACTTACCAATCGATGTGATTACAACTCTTCTCGCTGATCACCTAAACTATTACAGAGCAAATATTTTTTTAAATACAAAATAATTTAAAACTCTAGGAAACCCAGCAAAATAGTAGTTATTAAATAGGAGCACAAGTTGTATAGCCCAGTATACTTTATGTAAGAGGCATAAAGACCTAGCGGGTGATAATACTATTATTTTGGCCAAAAGTTTACGTTATGGCATTTTAAAGAAAAAGGAAAAGAAAAGAAGTAGTAGAGAAGAAGAAGAAGAAACAACAAACAGTGTTTTGTACTGGGGCAAACACTTCAACTTTCTTTTACTTCATAACTAGTTTTTGCAAACAACCTCTCATATCCTTTGACCAACAAAACTGATACGATGACTGTAGCTTTTTTATTTTGTTTTCATTTTGAAAAAGTAGAGATTATGGCTCACCCCCAACAAAGGATCAGCACCCATATCACCTTCTATTTTAGGCAAGTTACGTCTTGATTGTTTACAAGTCAATTAACACACGTGAAGCCAACATGAATTTGCTTACGTAAATAGAATGATAGCTAACGAGAAGTTATACTTAAGATTTATAGTATATATGTTAGTACTATAAATAATTTTTATCTTTTATGCCTTAGCACAGGCTATAATAGTGTGTTCTA